GTACTTTCAAAAAGTTCATGGAAAGATTCATATTATCTTTTAATTCTATTTTTCCAAGAACTTTTTGAAGGACCCTTGTATAATGCCCACAAATATTTCTTTTGTTGGTGCTATCCAATACAGTAGGTACTAGCCAGATTTGGCTATTCTATACTTGAAATGTGACTGAGGAACTGAATTTTTAATTTAAATTTCATTTTAATTTAAACCTAAAGCCTGATGCTACATTGTTGAAAGGAATTGAAGAAGACCTAAGTAAATAGAAAGATATCCTTGTTCATGGATAACTTAATATTGTTAAGATGGCAATACTCCTGAAATTGATCTACAGATTCAATGCAGTCACTATCAATATTCCTAAGTCCTTTTTAAAAAAAAAAATTTGTAGAAATTGACAAGCTGATCCTAAAATTTGTATAGAATGGCAAGGGACCACAAATACCAAAAGCAGTCTTGAAAAAGTAGTACAGAATTGGAGGACTCAAACATCCTGATTTCAAAATTTGCTACAAAAGTCCAGTAATAAAAATAGCGTGGTACTAGTACAAAGATAGGCATATAAATCAGTGGAATTAAATTAAAATTCCAGAAATAAATCCATACATATACGGCCAGTGGATTTTTGAAAAGGGTACCAAAACGATTCAGTGGAGAAAGAGTTATCTTTTCACAAGATGGTATTGGAACAACTGGATGGATCCACATGTAAAAGGATGAATTTGGGCCTTAAACTTATGCCATATACAAAAGTAATTCTAAATGGGTCTAAGAATTAAATGTAAGAGCTAAGAATATAAAGTTTTATAAGGAAATCTTGATAATCTTGACAAGTGACTGTTTCTTAAGTGTGACAGCAAAAACACAAATAGCAAAAAAAAAAAAAAAAGAATCGTATTTAATCAAAATTAAAAACTTGTGTATCAAAGGACACCATCAAAAAGCTGAAAAGGCAACCCAGAGAATGAGAGAAAAATTTTAGCAAATTATGTACCTAATAAGGGTATAGTATCCAGAATATATAAAGAACTCTTACAACTTAGCAACAGAAGGACCAACAAACCAATTTTAAAATGGGCAAAGGACTTGACTAAACATTTTTCCAAAGAAGATATACAGTGGCCAACAAGCGTGTGAAAAGATGCTCAACATCATTAGGCATTAGGGAAATGCAAATCCAAAACACAGTATGACACCACATCCAGGGAGATAGCTAAAACCAAACCAAAACAAACATCAACAATGAACATAAAATAGTAAGTGTTGATGAGGATGTGGAGAAGTTGAAACCCTCATGCATTTCTAGTAGGGGAATGTAAAATGGTGCAGCTGCTGTGGAAAGAAGTTTGACAGTTCCTTAAGGTTAAACGCAGAATGACCACATGATACAGAAATTATACTTGTGGTATCAATTCTCTTTCCACCCAAGAGAACTGAAAACATGTGATCAAAAACTTGTACATGAATGTTCATGATTATTCTTAATAGCCCAGAGAGGAAACAACCCAAATGTCTATCAGTTGATGAATGGATAAAAATGTGGTATATCCAAACAATGGATTATTATTCAGCCACAAAGTGGAATGGAGCACTGATACCTGCTACAACATGGAAAAACCTTGAAAACATTATGCTAGGTTAACGATGCCACAACCAAAAGCCATATATTTTATTTATTTATTTATTTCCTTATACTTTCTGAGTTTTTGATGATCTTTTCTTTCTCAATACTTGTTTCCTTCTTTCCCTCTTTGCTTATAAGTACATAGGCTATAAATATCCCTTCAAGTCCTACTTTAGCTACATCCTGTAAGTTTGATAAATTGTTTTTTATTTTAGTTCAGTTTTAAGTATAATTTCCATTATAATTTTTGTTTTTACCAAGAATGTTTGAAATGTAATTTCCAAAAATTTCAGGGTATTTGGTTACTATTGTAGTAAGTGAATGTGGGCTACATAATCACAGTTCCTTGAAATTTGTTGAGAAATGGGCTGCAGTTGGTCAGTTTTCCAATGATTAGGTTCCATATGCATTAGATTATGTTTGTTAATGGTGATGTTTTAATATTCTAGATCCTTTCTCATTTTTATCTTCTTATCTTTTAAATTTTGAAGATGATGTATTAAATTCTTTCACTATGATGTTTGATTTGTCAGTTTTTCCTTATGGTAGTTTAATTTTGCTTTAAATTTTTTAAAGTTAACTTATTAGATGCACACAAGTTTAGAATTTTTAATTTTCCTGTTATAATGGATTTTTTTATCAATATGTAATAACCATAAGTACATAGTAATCTTTTTATTCCTTAAATTCCATTTTGTTTGATGTTAAGAGAGTCCTGCCAGTTTTCTTTTGGTTAGTTTTTTCTAGTATATTTTTTATCTTTTTTAAACCATATTTCACTTGATCTGACATGCCTTGCCATTGTAAATGCATCTTAATTCAATGACAAGAATATGTAAGAAAATAGCTTGATAGCAATAGTAAGATGTCATCAATTGCACTCTGTACCCTGATTTCGTATATGTTAATATGTGAAAAAATAAACGCCAGAAATTTGTGAAATACAAATGCTTTCAACATTTGTGTCCTTAAGTTTTTACGTATGTCTTTTTAAAATGATACTTAACTGGAATTTTAAAAATCTACTCTGATAGGCTTTCACCTGAGGTCCTTAGTATGTATACTGATACATTTGGATTGATATCTACTATTGCATTTCTTGCTATTTATCCTACTTTTTTTGTTTTGCATTTCTTTTTTTGTCCTTTCTCTCTTCTCGCCTTTTTTGATTTCTCTTCCCACCCCCATTTTATTCCTCTACTAGTTTAGAAGTTTCATACTGTACTTCTTTTCTTTTACTGGTACCCATTAATTTTAATATACAGATTTAAAATTTAACAAAGCATAAAGTTAATATCTTTACTATCTGTCCAAATAAATGAGGACCTTGTGTTGTTTTTACTCTAATCATTTCCTTCTTGATTTATGCTTTTGTTGTCCAGAATTTTAGGTCTGTCATTGATTTATTTAACATTTCACAAAGTCATTCTTGCTATTTTATACTCTGAATATCTGTTTAGATTTATCCGTAAGTTTACCATTTTCTTTGCTTACTGTTCCTTCTTGCAAAATAGACCTTCCTTATTGGGTCATTTCCTTTTTCTTGAATTATGATCATTGGAAGTTCTTTTAGTGGGGATTTGCTGCCACATCTCTCATGTTTTAGTTTTCCCTAAATATTCTTTATACCACCCTCTTCCTGGGAGGATAATTTTGCTGGATATGCTATCCTAGTATGGCAGTTATTTTTCCTTAGCATTTTGAAAATATTAAATATTATAATTTCTTCATGTCTGTCTTCCATTTTAATAGTTCTTTCTTCAATTGTATCTCATTTGTAGGTCATCCATTTGTTTTTAATGTCAAATATCTTTTTTTTTTTTTAGAAGTTCTGTTTGGCTATGTTTTTAAAGCTGGAAATTTATTATCAACCACTGCCTTCTTTTCTCCATTCCTCCCAAAGCAATGGCATGACAGGCAAATTTCATTTGGTATTTGTTTACCAGTTTGTTTCTTAGATCATTGACTGAGAACATCTTCTTGGTCAGATCTTTCTTTATGCAGGGGTCTCTAATTCTAATTTGCAACATGCTTATACCTGATTCAGGAACCCAACTGATGCAAACGCAGATCACAGAAGATGAAACATACGATGTCTTTTTTTTTTATTCTTATGATATTTTCCAATATTATACCTATGTATAATCCTTATGATATTTTCCAATATTATACCTATGTTAATCTATGAAATTATAATTTCTGACCTTGATTTCTTTTGGTTCATATCTTTTTGGTGTTTTCCATCTCTGTAGTTTTAATTATTCTGTATCCATGTGTATCTAATAGACAACTTACATAGTTGGCTCTTATTTATCTTAATCAAACCCAAGCATCTGTTGAGTTTAATCCATTTGAGTTTCTTTGATTACTTTTTTTTTGGTTGCTGGCTGGTATGGATCCAAACCCTTGACCTTGGTGTTATAACACTGTGCTCTAACCAACTGAGCTAAGCAGCCAGCCCCTGTAATTACTTTAGTATTAGGACTTATTTCTGCCATCTCCTTTTCTATTTTGAGTTTTCTGTGTTTTTTCCTTTTGTTCCTCCGTTTGACCGATCATAGTCGCTTTTAATACTCTGAAGGTTATACAGACTCTTTTTATGCTTCTGCTTCTTATCTGTTAATTTCATTGCTTAAATTTTATTTTTCCCCTCTTTATTCTTTAAATACACCATTATCTTTCTTCTCAATTGTACGGTCACACTTTCCTCTCCATTTAGTTTCTCCTCTCTCAGTTTTTTTCACTTTATTCTGTGCTTCTCTGCCAATACTGATGTCATTAGGAATTTTAGATATGGATTGTGATGGATGTTCTTTATGCTTTATCTCTGCCTCTCCTTCCCCACATAGAAAATGCTTAGGGGTAACTGATTCTTCTGAACCTGTTATCTTCTCCTTGCCAAAGCTTAGCTGACCTCGAACACTACCCTGTTTTATACCCACCAGTCTTAGGTGGTGGTGCTGTTTTTCTCCCTTGCAGTGGAGATTGGACAGACAGTGATCTGTCTACAGCAGTGAAAAGAGCCCAGCTAAGTTCTTCTTAGCACAGCTAGAGTTTCTGGTTCTTTTCTCTGGGAATCTTATCTCTCTCCTCCGGGCGCTCTCACAATTTTTATGTCAGTTCCTTAGATCTGTAAACCTTACTTGTACTTCTGTAGCATCGCTATGCCTGATTTTGTGAGAGGGGGTCAGCAACCCACGCTAGCTTGCCTTTTTTTTCAGGAAGCTAAAGTCTTCATAATATTATTATACTTGTATATTTAGTGCTAAGTATTTTGGAGTTTGCTCATCAGTAGCTTGCAAATACAGAAGTGTTTCTTAAGAATCAAACTGGAACATATTGTTTACTTTATTTCTTTTTAAAATTTTGGTCTTCCCAGTTCTGATAGTATCAGCAGTGATGAGGAGGAGCTAAGGACTTTGGGAAGCAGTGACAGTGAAGGCAGCACTCCGGAGAATGTCGGACCTCCTTTAATCGTGGATGAGAACAGTTGGTTCAACAAGTGTAAGAGAGTTAAACAAAAGTATCAACTTACCCTGGAACAGAAGGTATTTATCAGCTGTCAAAAGTCACTTAATTTGATTTTACTTATTGCCTTTGGATTATCCCTGCCAAAAGATCTTTTAACTGAAGAAAATTATTTAGCCATTACTACTTCCCTTCTGTTCTTGAATTGTCCTCTTAATTAAAAATCAGGCAGCGTTTTAGGAGAAGCTTTTGTTTAAACTTTTTAAAATGTTATGTAAATTAATATAAAAATAAACCATTTATTCTTCTGTAATCTCTTCTATATATTAGAGATTTTATTTCCTGTGATTAACTTTATAAAAGATTATTGGTTTGTAAAAATGCAGTGACTGCCTAAGCACACATATATATATATTTTTTCCTTTTTGTCTTTTTTTCGTGACCGGCAACGGATCGCAACCCTCAGTGTCGCGCCTGTACCGGACCGGGACCAGCAACGGGATCGCAACCCTCGGTGTTGCGCCCACACCTCGCTCAGCCAGTGAGCGGCCGGTCTGTATGTGGGATCCGAACCCTCGGCGGGAGCGCCACCGCACTCCCAAGCGGCGCACTGTAGCAGTGCGCCACCGGGCCGGCCCCACACATATTTTTTTAATTAGGTATTTTAGCAGCTCTTGTGTGTTAAGCACTGTACTAGGCAAAGTAGAGTATATAACAGAAAGAAAACAAATTCCATTATCTTGAGGAGTTTTTAATCTTTACTTTTTTACTGTATTATTTATTTTTCCTTTCTTCCCTTCCTTCAAACTTATTATTTCTAATTGACATATATAAGGAAATCCCAATGGGATCAGAGATAAAAATATTAGAACAATAAGAATGCACTGGAGAAATGATTATAAAATAAATATACAAGTATGAATAGACTTTCGATGTGCAAACAGCTACTGCTTAGAAAATATAAACAAAAATATCCCACTTACAATAGTTATGGAATTTGCATAATCTATATGAAGAAAATTTTCACACTCTATTAAAGGAGGCTTCTGAAGTCAGACTAAGATAATCTGAAAGTCTTTCAACTGCAAAAATCTTAAAATGCTGAGTAGAATACAATTTTTAAAAAGTTCCATATAAGAGCTACTCTCTCAAAGAAAAGGAACTCACTGAGGAACAGAAACATAGAAGGACATGAAAACAAGAGGAATAAGTGCATAAGTTAGTGCCACTGCAGGCCCTAGGAGTGGGAGTGAGGGCATAATCCCGTAACCTAGGTACTTGTGTTGATACCAACAGGGGACAGCATACATAGGCCCACTATCATTCAAGACGGAAACTGAACCTGGAAGGCAGGAGTGAGATGCAAAATATCAGAGTAAGCAAAGAAATTGATAAATAAACCTTGACTGACATCATGAAACATCAAAAATAATGACCAGTACGGGGTGGCAATGTGCTAGAATATGCTCAGCTGGCTCTTGCAGAGGAGATGAAGAGAGAAGTCCTGATTTGTAGCATTTGCCAATTTCTCTGGGGTAAATGCTCCCATCATGGCCAATTTAAAGCTACCAACATGACATCACTGACCGCTGAACTGGGTAGAGATGGACAATAGAATACCATTATATAGTAAATCTACCAGATAAATGAAACAGACATAAGTGATTTTAAGAACATAAATAATAGTAAAATATGGTAAAATAATTAGGAAGTGATGAGTTTTGAGTAGTTTTTGTTTTTAGTATAATTTTCTTAATCTTAAGTTTATATAATTTAATTTTTAATAATAGCAGTGTTGAGCAACTGACTTAAAAAATTTCTGAAAATTTAACAATCAACTCTTGAGAGCCCATACAAGCTGGCTGCAGCTCATCACTGGTAGTATGAAAACAAAGTAAAACTAAAACTATGACTAACAGTATTCAAAAAGAGTGAGAGAGGATGATTGAAGCTAATGCCTTTGAGGTCGTTGTATTATAGTGAAGGGAGATACTTTTTTTTTTTTTTTTTTGTCTTTTTGTCTTTTGTCCGTGTCCGGCAACGGATCGCAACCCTCAGTGTTGCCCCCGTACCGGACCGGGGACCGGCGACGGGATCGCAAGCCTCGGCGTTGCTCCCGCGCCTCGCTCAGCCAGTGAGCGGGAGCCGGTCTGTACGTGGGATCCGAACCCTCGGACGGGAGCGCTGCCGCGCTTCCCAAGCGGCGCACTATCCAGTGCGCCACCGGGCCGGCCCCGGAGGGAGGTACTTTTTAAAAAAAATATGAATGATATATTTTGAGACCAACATATGCGTATATTCAAAGAGAATCTACTTGCTTTTTACAGTATAGCAAACCAATATCCTTGTAAGTTTCCAGTGTTTTTTTAACAAGGACATGTACATTTATTTGTTCAAATAACAAATACATTAACTGAAAAACAAAATACTTTTTAGAAAGTAGGGCTACAAATTTTCACAAAAACTGGAGATGTAAAATTTATTAAAATTTATATATTTCATTTTATAATCTCTATGATTATTTGAAATAGCCCTCTAAAGTCTTCCATAAGCTTGCAAATATCAAATTAATTTCAACCGAGGAAGATGAATAAACTTTTCAAAGGCAAATTAAATTCTAAGCAAGTCAACAAGTCCACTTAATAAGAACTCAAGAATAGAAATTAAATATCTAAGTTTAGCAACATAAATTGCATAAAAATCAATAAAACAGAGTATAAACACAAGGGCACTTCAAAAAGTTTGTGAAAAAATAGAATTGAAACATGATGGAAATCTTTCCATGAACTTTTTTTAAAAAATTTTTTTCTTTTTTTAAAGAGACTAAGAGCATAGAAAATGTGTTCTCTGACCACAAAACAGATGGAAATTTAGAAAACTCACAAATGTGTGGAAATTAAACAACATTCTCCTAAATAAATAATGGGTAAAAAGAAAAATCACAGGGAAATTAGAGAGTACTTTGAGATAAAGATCAAAGCTCAAAATACCAAAATTTTATAGGATACAGGGCTCAAACAATGCTTAGAGGAAAATTTATACTTGTAAACCCCTATATTAAAATGAAGAAAAATTTCAAATCAGTTATATAAACTTCTACTTTAAGAAAATAGAAAAAGAAGAGCAAACTGAACCAAAAGCAAATATAAGTTGGAAATAACAAAGATTACAACAGAAATATATGAAATAGGGAATTAAAAAACAATAGAGAAGGGCCGACCCCATGGCTCACTCGGGAGTGTGCGGCGCTGGGAGTGCAGTGGCGCTCCCGCCGCGGGTTCGGATCCTATATAGGGATGGCCGGTGCGCTCACTGGCTGAGCGCGGTGCGGGCAACACCAAGCCAAGGGTTGCTATCCCCTTACCGGTCACAAAAAAAAAATAGAGAAAATCAACAAAACAAAAAGTTGATTCTTTAAAAAAATCAACAAAAGGGCCGGCCCGGTGGCGCACTGCTACAGTGCGCTGCTTGGGAAGTGCGGTGGCATTCCCGCCGAGGGTTCGGATCCCACATATAGACCGGCCGCTCACTGGCTGAGCGGGGAGCGGGGGCAATGCCGAGGGTTGCGATCCCGTTGCCGGTCCCGGTCCGGTACGGGCGCGACACTGAGGGTTGCGATCCATTGCCGGTCACGAAAAAAAGACAAAAAGACAAAAAAAAAAAAAAATCAACAAAATTTGCAAACCTTTATTTAGACTGACCAAGAAAAAAGAGAAAAGACCACAATTACTAAAATCAGAAATAAAGCAGGGGCATTATCACATTGTCACAATGGCTTTTTGTGGGGATAAGATTTAGTTTTTCTCTCTCTCACTTGCATTTTTGTTCTACAAGTGGATTTTGTTCTTTCTTGTATATTTGTGGTAGTGATTATTGTTTTTAGATTCCAGATACATGACTTCATTGAGGATTTCTTGTAGGGCTGATCATGTGGTGGCGAACTCCTGCAGCTTTTTTTCTGCCAGGAAAATACACTCTTTTCCCCTCATTTCTGAAGAATAGCCTTGCTGGCTATAGTATTCTTGGCTGGCAGATTTTTTCTTTGAGTATTTTGAATACATCATTCCATTCTCTTCTGGCTTGTAGAGTTTTTGTCAAGAAATCTGCTGTTAGTCTGATTGGAGCTCCCTTATAGGTGACTTGACGCTTTTCTCTTGTTTCTTTTAGAATTCCCTCTTTGTCTTTGAGCTTTGCCAGTTTGACTATAACGTATCTTGGAGAGGATCTTTTTGAGTTGAATCTGTTTGGGTATCTTTGAGCCTCTTGGATCTGAAGATCCATGTTTCTCCCTATACCTTGGAAGTTTTCCATTATTATTTTGTTGGATAGGTTTTTAATGCCTTTTCATTTCTTTTCCTCTTCTGGAACACCCATGATTCAAATGTTTGTACATTTATGGTTGTCTGCTAGCTCTCTTAGGTATTCTTTATTTTTTAAAATTTTGTTTTCCTTTTTTTTTTTTATCTGCCTGGATTATTTCAAAAAGTCTATCTTCAAGATCAGAAATTCTTTCTTCTGTTTGTTCTAGCCTGCTTCTTAAGCTATTGGTTGTGTTTTTTATTGCATTGAGTGAATCTTTCAGTTCCATTAGTTCTGCTACATTCTCTTTTAAGATATCAATTTCTATGTAAATTTCCACCTTCATATCCTGGATTATTTTTCTCATTTCATTTTGTTGTTTAACTGAGTCTTCTGTATCTCATTGAGTTTCCTTAAGATTGTTGCTCAGAATTCCTTTAAAATCATTTCAAGGGTTTCCTGCTCTATAGAGTCTGGTACTTGAGAATTACTGTATTCTTTTGGTGGTGTTATATTTTCTTGGGTTTTTGTACTTCTAGTACCTATACATTGGTGTCTGGTCATCTAGTATAGCATTTGCATCTTCTGTCACTCTAAAGCAGGTTTTGAGGAGAGAGATGTCTTCTTTTTCCAGTCTCCACTGGTGACTATCCTTGTGTCAATGCAGTCTAGTGTCTGGTGGGCCACCTGCACAGTGGCTGTGAGTGCTGCTGTGGTGTCAAGCCACTTTTTTGGCAGCTGTGGCTGTGGCAGTGGCTGTGGTGGGCCACCCGTGCCGAAA